TTAAGAAAATAAATAATAAAATAAATAAATAGTGAAAGAAAAATATGAATGAAAGAAAAAAATGTTTTGTAAATAAAGAAAAATGCACATTTTATAGAGAAAATATTGATATAATGAATAAAGGCAGAAAAAATAAAAATTGTAGGAAGTAAATGTTGATAAAAGAAAGAGAGAACGAAGAAAGAGAAAATATATAAACGAAACGTTTATAATAAAAAAAACAAAGGAAGGAAGGAAGGAAGGAAGGAAGGAAGGAAGGAAGGAAGGAATAAAGAATGGATGAAAGAAAGAATAAATATAAAATAAAAGGAAGATGAAGATAGAATACCACGTGGTGTAAAAGAGAGAAAGAAAGAAAGAAAGAAAGAAAGAAGAACGAACGAACGAAAGAAAGAAAGAAAGAATAGGCTATGGATGACAGAAAGAATAAAGATAAAATAAAAGAAAGATGCAAACAGAATACCACGTGTGGTGTAAAAGAAAGAAAGAAAGAAAGAAAGAAAGAAAGAAAGTATAGGCAGTGGATGAAAGAATAGATATAAAATAAAGATCAGAACAGAATATCACTTGTGGAGTGAAAGAAAGAAATAAAGAAATAAAGAAAGAAAGAAAGAAAGAGAAGACGGAAAATATAATGAAAGAAAGACAAATTAAAATGGAAGAAACACATTCAAATTGACATGTTCGTTGAAAGGAGCTCAATGTCATGACGACGTGATTTCGTTCACTAAAAATTTTCACGGTCTACCTTCAAGATTTGGATGAGAAAGAAAAGAAAGAAAAAAAAAAGAAAGATTAAAAGAAGGGCGGAATTCCTATTAAAATAGACGGAAGAAGCAGTAAAAGAAAGAAAGACATTAATATAGAACAATAAAAAATGAAAGAAGGAAACAAAAAACAAGACATGACTTAATACAAAAAAGAAAGAAGGAAAAGAAGAAAAAAGTCCAAATTACCGGAGAAGCAAAGGAAGAAAACTTAAAGATGAATGAAATGAAATCAACAAAGAAAATAGAATTTGATATAGAAATTCTTTAGAGAAAAAAAAAAAGCGAGAAAAAAAATTAGGGAGGAAATATCTTACAGAGACCAGGGCAATGACTGTTGGTTCTGGGCGAGATTAGGTGCTCAAGACGGTCAGAGCACAAGATTTACAATCTTGTTAAAAGAAACACGAACGAACAAGATGTCAGGTGACACTGAGATTAGGAACGAGATCGTGAATTGCAAACGAGAAATGAAACGAGATTGACATTTCGTGTAATGGGGTGAGAGCAACGTCGATGAAGAAAAAAGAAAAATAAACACGCAAAATAAAACAAATAATGTAAAGCCAAAAAATGCGTGCAACGGAAAAGATAGAAATTGAAAATGGAGGGGAAAGATACTGAAAATAGATTGTTAAATGGCGGTAACGCCTCGTCGGCTTTGTGATTTCACCTACTGAAACTGATGGAGAGATACAAACGGGGCAAGTTAGAATAAATAATGTTTGATTGGATAAAAGCTGATAGGCGAGCAAACTAGTTTTCCATGCAATTTTTCATTAACTATGCAATGAATATTATTTGGAGGTATGTATGTGTGTGTGTGGACGTGTGTATGATTTTACGTAGAGCATGTATGTGTGCTTGTGTGTACAGGTATCTATCTGTGTTTGCCTGCATGCTGGTGTTCGCTCGTGAGTTCATGTGTGTGTGCGTGTGTGTGTGAAAAATAAGTTATTAGGAAAAAAAGCTAGAAAGAAAAATATACGAAGCACGGTGGAAAGAAAGAAAGAAAGAAAGAAAGAAAGAAAGAAAGAAAGAAAGAAAGAAAGAAAGAAAGAAAAGAAATCGAATCATAGTAAGAAGAAAAGGAAGTAGCAAAAAGAAAACAAGTAAAAACGATATAAAGGAGGTAAAAGGAAGCAGGGGTAGAAAGAAAGAAAGAAAGAAAGAAAGAAAGAAAGAAAGAAAGAAAGAAAGAAGAAAGAAAGAAATAAAGAAAGAAAGAAAGAAAGAAAGAAAGAAAGATTCAAAGAAATTGTAAAATAAATTAAATTTTATAGAAAGAAATAAAAGAAACGGATACAAGCAGAAATAAAGCGGTAAAAAAAAGAAATAGCAATAGAAACAAATAAAGGAAGGAAGGAAAAAAGAAAGAAAGAAAGAAAGAAAGAAAGACAGAAAGACACAAAGAAAGAAGAGAAATGGAATCATAGTAAGAAGAAAAGAAAGTAGCAAAAAGAAAACAAGCAAAAACGATATAAAGGGCTAAAAGGAAGGAGGGGTAGAAAGAAAGAAATAAAGAAAGAAAGGAAAAAAGAAAGAAATAAAAAAAGAAAGAAAGTAAGAAGGACAGAAAGAAAGACGCAATTTATAGAAAGAAAAAAGAGAAACTGATAAAAGCAGAAATAAAGCGGTAAAAAAAGAAATAATGATAGAAACAAATAAAGGAAGAAAGGGAAAAAGAAAGAAAGAAAGAAACAAACAAACAAACAAAAGAAAATAAAGAAAGAAAGAAATGGAAATAAATAAAAGAAAAGGAAAGGAAAGAAAGAAAGAAAGAAAGAAAGAAAGAAAGAAAGAAAGAAAGAAAGAAGAGAAATAGAATCATAGAAGAATAAAAAGAAAAGAAAGCAGCAATAAAGAAAAGAAGTAAAAAAACGATATAAAGGAAGTAAAAGGAAGGAGGGGTGGAATAAAAGAAAGAAAAAAAGAAAGAAGTAGAAGCAAAGAAATTGTCAAAGAATAAATTAAATTTTAAAGAAAGAAAAAAAGAAACAGATAAAAGCAGAAATAACGATAGAAACAAATAAAGAAAGGAAGAAAGAGAGATACAAACAAACAAACAAACATCAAAGAAAGAAAACACGAAAGAAAGAAGGAAAGAAAAAATGAAAGAAAGAAAGATAATGCCGTAAAAAAGAATCCTTAAAATGAAATCGGGATAAAACTAGATTGGTTAAAAAGTAAAAAGAAAGAAAGTGTAATTTCTCTCTCTCTCTCTCTCTCTGTGTGTGTGTGTGTGTGTGTGTGCCCGCGTGCGTGTGTGTGTGTTCCCTTTGATGTATTTTTGATTACAATACGCTATCCGATGAATATAATTTGAGTTGCTGGCGCTTATATATGCCAAAGAATGCATATCTTTTAAAGAGATGCAATTTTAAAGACCTATTTATATGTCCAGGTACTCTCTTCAATACGTGCTTGCGGTCATGCAAAGACACATTCCTTAACAGTCTTGCTCACTTTGCCATTTCTTGACAGGAAGTTGAGGAGATCCGTAATCGCCAACCTCCGGGATGGGAGAGTCGCCTAGAAGAATAGATCTATTTAGAAGTTATGTTCTTTGAAAATAAATCTTAAAATTAATTTTTGAGCAAATATTTTTTTCCTAATTGTAAAGTTTACAATATATTTTCATTGAGGGAAAAACTTTCCAAACTTTATTTTTTTTGGATTATTCACAATAAAATAAAAATAATTATTATTTCACATGAGAATAAAAATAAAGCCTCTAATGCTCAAAGGGTTATTGTGAGAGAATTCGAGAAAAATTACGATTAAGGGGAGAGAACAATAAAAGAATATGAATTAAGAAGAGGGGGGATAACGATTGACATTGCATTTCAATTTTTGAAGGTCAAAGTTGACTGGAAAGGAAGAAAAGGAAGAGGGGTCCAGAAGCAAGAAGTGCGATAGAAGACTCCACTCCCATAGAACTTACGGTTGCATATAGCCATTTCAACTGTAAAATGATGAGACCTAGCCGCCAATCTAAAACAGCGATTAAATTTCATTAAGTCGACGTGTGATAGGGGAAAGAACCTCAGAAAAATTACCATAAAAGGATTTATAGAAAAGAACCAGGGAATCTAGATTTCGGCGTGGGAAAATGACGGAAGCCGATGTGCCACGTCAATGCCAATATCATTGCAGATTCTACTTTGGATTTTATCAAGCATCTATCAATATGTAGCAGTATCATTAAACCATATGTGGCAGCGATATACAAATCAAGGTCGAACGGTAGTTTTATAATTATGTAAAATAGATTCTGGAGAGAAAAAAACTTTCTAACACAACATAGTGAATGTACCAGCATATTTTCGATATTTTCAACTGGAGTTTAGAAGAATATTTCAACAGATTTAATTTCTTGAAGGACATAAGTAAATGAATTTAGCAGCCATTTCATTTTAAAGCGATTTCATAAGGATTCTATAACACCGAAAAAAGGATTTGCAGAAAGCTTTCTTAAGAGCGCTATGTATATAGGCGATTTATGTAATGTAATGGTTAACGAGCTGGATTAGCCCACAGTAACTACTAAATTCGATTCTCGCCATGCTAAAACTGTTCTATGCGAAGTAATGGTTAACGACCTAGTCTGGTTAATCATGAATACTAAGTAGCGAGTTCGAACCTTCCTATCTGGGGGTGGTAGCACCTGTTAGGGTCTCAACTATCGGCAAAGAGTGAACCACCAAACAAAAACACAACACTGTTAAATTATAAAAATACCTTGTTATAGCAAAAATATTCACGATATATTTTTATATAAAAAAAAGTTAGAAACTTTTAAAGCAAACTGACCAGCAGTTCATTTATAGCAAACAACAACAACACATTCTATAACAAAATTACGAACAATTCATTTTATAAGAAAATTACCAACAAGACATTTTATAGCAAAATTACCAACAACATATTTTATAGCAAAATTACCAACAATACATATTATGGCAAAATTACAACAACATAGGAAAATTAGCAACAATACATGTTAATAGGAAAATTACAACAACTCATTTTATAGCAAAATTAGCAACATAGCATTTTATAACAAAATTATCAACAATACATTTTATAGAAAAATTACCAAAAACACATTTTATAGCAAAATTATCAACAATAAATTTTATACAAAAATTACCAAAAATACATTTTATAGGAAAATTACCAACAACCCATTTTATAGCAAAATTAGCAACATTACATTTTATAACAAAATTATCAACAATACATTTTATAGGGAAATTACCAAAAACACATTTTATAGCAAAATTATCAACAATAAATTTTATGGGAAAATTACAAACAATACATTTTATAGGAAAATTAGCGACCATACATTTTATAGCAAAATTATCAACAATACATTTGATAGCAAAATTATCAACAATACTTTCTATAGGAAAATTATCAACAATACATTTTATAGGAAAATTACCAACAATATATTTTATAGCAAAATTGCCAACAATACATTTCATAGCAAAATTATCAACAATATATTTTCTGGCAAAATTACCAACAACAGATTTTATGACAAAATTATTAACAATACATTTTATAGGAAAATTACCAACAATACATTTTACAAGAAAATTAGCGACAATACATTTTATAGCAAAATTATCAACAATATATTTGATAGCAAAATTATCAACAATACCTTTTATAGGAAAATTATCAACAATACATTTTATAGCAAAATTATCAACAATACATTTTATGGCAAAATTATCAACAATACATTTTATAGCAAAATTATCAGCTATGAATTTTATAGGAAAAATACCAACAATGCATTTTATAGGAGAATTACCAACATTGCATTTTACAGGAAAATCGCCAACAATACATTTTCTAGCAAAATTACCAACAATACATTTTATAGCAAAATTATCAACAATACATTTTATAAGAAAATTACCAACAATACATTTTAAAGCAATATTATCAACAATAAATTTTATAGCAAAATTATCAACAATACTTTTTATAGGAAAATTATCAAAAATACATTTTATAGCAAAATTACCAACAATAGATTTTATGGCAAAATTATCAACAATACATTTTATAGGGAAATTACCAACAATACATTTTATAGGAAAATCGCCAACAATACATTTTATAGCAAAATTATCAACAATACCTTTTATAGGAAAATTATCAACAATACATTTTAAAAGAAAATTACCAACAATACATTTTAAAGCAATATTATCAACAATAAATTCTATAGCAAAATTATCAACACTACTTTTTATAGGAAATTTATCAACAATACATTTTAAAGCAATATTATCAACAATAAATTTTATAGCAAAATTATCAACAATACTTTTTATAGGAAAAATACCAACAACAGATTTTATAGCAAAATTACCAACAACACATTTTATCTGTAGTTAAAGGTACAGAAATGTGTTTGGTGCCATATTTATCACAACGTTTCGATCGTTGTACATTCCAGCCTTCTTCAGGTGGTTGGAATGTCGAACTGAACACTTTATTTCGCTCACTGGGGTAGACTGTTCTATTTCCACGTGCCATGTCTAATGGATGTCAGTTATCTCCTGTTAATTCCCCTCTCAAAGTTCTTCACCGCCTTAACCAGGTATTGAACTCAAACTCTTTGGGTCCTGTCACTGGATCTGACTAATGCCTTAACCACTGTGCCATGTAACCTTGAAACGTTGTGTTATATAATACCTCATCTCAGAAATATAGACAGATATCATATAATTTGTTAATCCACTCTTTTGCTAAAAAATATTTCGGCAGGACTAACTAAATATATATTTTTTCTGCACCTATGCAAACATATAAACACCTACAGTCTGTGACGTAACCTTACAACCAATCAGTGGGAACTCCCAATCAACAATGAGACGCCACTAAATAAAGTTTTGGATTCTTAATAAGATTGCTCCACGCGTGTGTTCTGCAACTGTACTATTTTAATCAATGAGAAAGACACGGTAGCAGGTTATCCACGTTACAAGGCGTCATTTTATAATGCAGTTATCCCGGCTTATTAATGAGAAAAGAGGGGCCGTTTGGAAAAGAAACAGTCGGGGAACAAACAGCAAAATAACCTAAGAAATGCGAGGGTAGTAAAAAAAAAACACATTGCTAAGAACCATAAAGAACTATAAGTTGTGGAGAGCCATGTCTGTCCACTTTCTGAAGAGTAAACTAAAAAGAATTCGTTATCTTGGAATGATCGAAATGACATCGTTAAATATCAGTTCGTTTAGTCTTGCTCAACGTGAATTACTGCTATTATTGATTTAACATTGTCTTTCACAATATGGAGAAGCAAAATCAGCTTCCAAACGAAGTACAGACTGTACACATCGCTGGTAGTCTCCATACTCCTAAATGGACGTGAAACGTGGACACTTTTGGCAGAAACATGGAGAAGTATTCAAGCGTTTAGAACAAATTCATGAGAAAACTCCTTGGCATTTTCTGTTGGGATCATAAAACCAATAAGTTTGTGTAGAAAAGTGTTTGAAAGCTTTGGGGGCCATGAAAACTTCTTCTCGACACTGTCAAACGGAGAAAAATGGCGTGGTTTGGGAACATTACAAGGCACGACAACCTTTGCGAGACCATCATGCAATGCACCGTTGTAGGGAGATGTAGGAGAGGACGGAAAGGCAAAAACTGGTTGGATAACAACAATGGACAGGTATGACTACCAGAATTGCTGATGGCTGCCGATGGTAGACCGTTGTGGAGGACATTCAATATGGCTTCTGAATTTGGATTCCCCCCTACGATTACAAAGGTCAAGAGGATGATCATCATCATGATCATGATCATGATGATTACACAAGGTCAGAAAGATTGGGAAGCCGGTGAGTATCGCACTGCTTGAGTAATAGCTTAATGAAAAAAGATCTCTAAACACACCCACATCTTTCATTATAAAGGGTGTTTTTTTTTTAAGACGGATCATATATAAGGGTGTTTCATTAAGACGGATTATATATAAACGTGTTTCATTAAAACGGATCAAAGTCAGCACTAAATAAATCAGTGTTATAGGCAACAAAATCTATGCATTTCTCTATTGGATCATGTTATTTAAGTCATGGCAATTATGTGTGAAATATAATATCGCCCAAAT